AAGGCCTGTTTGCACCAATGAACAACCAGGACGTCTACGTGCCCATCACCCCTGAGATCACCTTCCACTTTGAGAACTACAGTACCAATGAGATCCGCGGTCTGTACGACATGTTCATTTTCTCCCTAAATCTGGAGGTCTCATTTGGCCGCCGTAATGTCTCCCAGATGACTTTCGATGAGATTTTCCTCCTGACCGACGTGATTCTTTGGCCACTGATTGCGGTACAGCGTGTGGCCGACAAAGTTTGGCCTGGAGACAGCAACGGGCCTAGTCGAAATCCCTGCCTAATTTACGACTGTGAAATGGGTAGGTTGGACAAGCATTCTCTCATGGGCGAGTGCGTTGCTTTTTCGTTTTCTCATACGCGCCTTCTTTCTGTGTTTTTGCATGCAATTTAGCCGGCAGCGTTCAGGAAATTACTCTCATTATATTGGGAGGAATAATCATCGTCGGGGTGAGCAATCTGGCCAGGATTGTCTACATCAGGTAGGTTCCAAGGAGGCATGTCCAAGTATGCAGGTCTTATTTTCTGTTTGGGTAATAACTTAAAGGTTATGCTGCTGACATGAAGTCCGTGAGCGTAAATTCGATCAAGCGTCTGGGCGGATCAAAAACATTTCTCATGCAGAAATCAACCCTTTACAGGACGTCTCTCTATCTCTCATTCAGAAATTCACAGTCAGTCCTTGCTTTGTCCTCCAAAGCTCTTTGGGTTGCCATAATTCCTAAGCATAGGAATGGTTTCATTTGCATAACTACTACACCTTTGCAGTTCAGTTCTGCCAGCAGGGGAAACTACCTAATGTGATTGTAACCGACATATTGGTAGCCTAGGATAACGCGTACGTCAAAGCCCAATGAAAACCGGAGCTCTGTACAAATGCTATGTGCACATAATCCAGAACAAATAAAGCGCAAACTTTCGCAGTAGGCACACGCACACGACAGTGAGCTGGCTGAATTCTGACCTTAGACTCCAGTAAGCCCTGTGTAAGATTGCAAACGTGGGTCGCACGCGCGTGCAGAAAGGATTGAAGGTAAAAGGGATGACCTTGAGTCTCAAGGCCAACGTTGGCTAATTGGCCAAACAAACGAGTTCAATACAGGTGGGAGAACCAAACGAAGTTAGAGAACAGCAGGTCAGATAGTTCAGACATGGAAAGTTTCCAAGCTTGTTCGACAAAAGCTTACAGTGATCCTCATTCCTTCCTGCAATAGCGGCCCTTTAATCAAGATTATTTCGAACGAAGAACGTGCTATTATTGAAGTAGCAATTGTAATAATCTTAAAAGTCGTACTCCTACAGGCGTCTAGCGTCAGATGATCGTGTGCAGTCTTAGCTGCAAACTGGGCCATTTCATTTAATCCCATGAGGGGAGGTGTAATAGCGTGTTTGTGCCCGTAAGCAGGCTGCGTGGTAGACACGCTGTGCAGATCAGGGCACGGCGGGTGTTATTCGGATTATGCTGCCACTACGAATGCCGAACATGGGACAGAGGGCGTGGTGGCACAGCTGGGGTTTGCATAGGCTGCGACATTCATCTCCTCTTGATCCCGCCTCGGGTCTTCTTGACACCGGGCATGGGTGGTTGGGGGAAGGGAGTCCGGTATGTTCCCATCACTAAACCGTACGCAAGTCACTGCATTTGCATTCAGCTTGCTGAATCACGCGGTGGAAACTGCGTCGAAACCGACGGTCCGGCTGTCCCAAACAGCGACTTCCACGCGTGGCACACAGAGCAGGTGAGACGCGCCAGGCCTGCCCGCGAATTAGTGAGGCAGGTGAACATTATCGACAAAGGCAGGGGAAATGATGCGGCCACTTCCGGCTAATTAGCCGTCATAAGGC